CTCCCCACCCTTTATAGGTGCAGTGTCCCCCCTGATCGGCCTGCTGACCCTGACCGAGGAGGCAGACTGCCTGCAAACGGCGCTGCGGACGTTGAGGATCCTGTCGGATACCCCGTGCCATCGCCGTGCCCTGACCGCCCAGGGCCTGGTGCCCCCGCTGGTGGCGGTGATGTCCCGAGAGGAGCCGGGTTTGCTGGGGGCGGCCTGCAGGGCGGCGGCCGAGCTGACCCGCTGCTGCGGCGCACCCTGTGCCCTGCAGCTCTCCCGCCACGGGGGGATCCCGCGCCTGGCCTCCCTGGCGGGCCACGAGCAGCGGGCGGTGCGGGAGGGGGCACTGTCCACCCTGGGCAACCTGTGCGTCCAGGGCTTCGTGCGGCCCAGCGTCGGCGGGGCCGGTGGTGTGGGCCTGCTGCTGGGGGCCCTGCGGTCGGATCCCACGTCCCCCGCGGCGCCCGCTCACCTCCGGGCGCTGTGCCTGTGCTGCCGGGAGGCGGTGAACAGGGCTCGGGTCAGGGAGGACGGGGGCCTGGACCTGCTGGTCTCCCTCCTGAAGGAGCCCGGGCACCGTGCCAGTCACCCTCGGGTCCTGGGGGCGCTGCTGGCCTTCTTCTACGACCAGGTCGCCATCGATTACCTGCACGCCCGCGGCCTGGTGCCCGTCCTGCTGGCACAGCTCCTCAGGCTCTCCGGGGTCCGTCCCGGGGCTCTCGCCACCCACCCCCTCCCTCAGGACGGGAGAGAAGCCGCCTCCTTCGACTACCCCCTCGAGAGGCCCATCCAGGGAGAGGAGCAACCAGCCGAAGCCTCGTCCAGCTTCCTCAGCCTCCGGTAAGGGCCAGCGCACGGTCAGTGGGGTCTCCGCTCCCTCACGCTGTCTCTCAGTATCCACCCCCCCCCCCCCCCCCCCAGCGCCCTGTGTTACTGACTGTATCCCTACTGATGTTAATCCCTCTCCCTCACATTGTCCCTCAATGCAATGAGTGGGTGAATGTTAACCTGGGCTGTGGGAACAGATCTCCTGTGTAGAAACTGCTGACAGCGGTGAGGTGTAATGGGGTCTCGGGTGGTATTGGTGGTTGTGAGAGTTTAACTTAATGGGATCGTACTGTGTATAGCTCTGACTGTAACTTCTAACATCTGCTGCACATCAATGTGAATGTATCTGCTGTGTCGTTAATGTGCGTTTATTCCGTTTACTCCAAACCTACTTCCCTACTTACCTCTCCCCCCTCTCCGCCCCCCACCCCCCCCACCCCTCCAAGCTCCTGGTTGCTGACAGAGGGTTACATCGAGAGTCCCGATGAGTTGCTGCTGCCTGGACCGTGTGGCGAGTCGGAGATCCCCCCGTGGCTGGCGCCGGAGCGGGAGGAGGCGGAGGGCGGTGCGGCTGATCGGCCGGGGGAGGCCTCGTCGTGCAGCCGCTCGGAGGCCGAGGCCTGGTTACCAGAGACGCCAGTGCTATTGCTGTTGTCTCGGTTTTCCCAGGCGGAGGATCCAGCTCCGAGCCTGCTGACCGAGCACTCGGTGCGGGTTTTCCTGGACTACCTGAGCCAGGCCCCAGCTCCCAGTGCCCGCTGCTCCCGCATCCTGGTGCGGCTGGTCTGTAACCCCAACTGCCTGGAGGCTCTGCTCCGTGCCCGCGCCGTTCCCTTGCTCCGGGCACAGCTCATCCACGGCTGGAGACCACCCTCTGTATCTGAGACAGCTGGAGATTCGGGGGCCAACTGGACCCGCACTCGGGGCAACAAGGAGCTGGGTAAGGGCGGGGGTGGGGGCAGTGTCTGTCTGTGTCTGTGTCTGTGTCTGTGTCTGTCTAACGGTCACCCATCACCCTGACTGCTCACACCGACCCCCTCCCTCCCCTCGGCGTTGCTCCCTCCATCACTGACTCCTTCCCTCCCTCCCTCCCCTCGGCGTTGCTCCCTCCGTCG